CAACATCGATGTCCCTGCCGCAAGTGCTCAGGGTGTCATTGTTGTAAACTCTCCCTCTGGCAACATCCTCGCCGCAGCAGAACACACAATTGCGCTCCTCCTTTCCACCGCTCGCAATGTGGGACAGGCAGATAGCAGCGTGAAAGAAAGTCGATGGGAACGAAGCAAGCTCGTGGGTGTCGAGGTCGGTCGCAAAACGCTCGGCATCATCGGTCTAGGCAAGGTCGGGCTGAACGTTGCTCGTATGGCCAAAGGTTTGGGCATGATTGTCAAGGCAGTTGACCCCTATGCGAGCGCAGATATGGCTCGTCAAACTGGCGTAGAGCTGGTTTCTGGCTTGGAAGACTTGCTCCCTGTGGCTGACTTCTTGACCATCCACACACCTCTGCTTGCTACGACGCTGGACCTGGTTAGTGAAGCAGAGTTCAAGAAGATGAAGAAGACAGCACGCGTGCTCAACGTTGCCCGCGGTGGAGTCTATAACGAAGAAGCTTTGATCAAGGCTTTGGACGAGGGATGGATTGCAGGAGCAGGCATTGATGTCTGGTCTTCAGAACCACTGGTCGCAGGTTCAGCAGCAGCCAGACTCAGCAAGCATCCCAAGGTAGTAGCAACACCTCACTTGGGAGCGTCGACAATTGAAGCCCAGGAGAATGTTTCCATGGATGTCTGCAAACAGGTCCTGGAGATCCTCCAAGGAGGTCTCCCTACCAGTGCAGTCAATGCCCCAATCATCATGCCAGAAGAGTATCGCAAACTGCAGCCTTCGGTACAGCTCGTTGAAAAGATGGGTCGCCTATACACAGAACACTTTGTGCGTAGTAGAGGAGGTATGCTGGGAGGTCGACGATTTGAGCTCATCTACCACGGAGATCTGGCTAGTATGCCCAACACCAAGCCGTTGTTTGCTGCCCTTATCAAGGGGCTCGTATCAACGTTCAGCGACTCGCATATCAACATGGTCAACGCAGCGCTTATTGCAAAGGAGAAAGGCATTGTCATCAGCGAGACTCGTGCGGGCGATTCTCCATCAACATATTCTAACCTGGTGACACTACGGTCATACAAAGCCGGTGGCAACAGTAGCGAACAAGTAATTGAAGGCTATGCGAGCGACGAACGAGTCTTTATCTCTAAGCTGGACCGATTCAACGGTGTATTTACACCAGAGGGAACCCTCATCATCCTACACAACTACGATGAGCCTGGAAAGATCGGAGGAGTGGGGATGGTGCTTGGCAAGCATGGTATCAATATCAAATTCATGCAGGTGGCCAGTCTGGATCCTGAAGCAACCAAGGGAGCTGATACACCGCCTGACCCGAATGGAAACGAGGCCCTGATGATTTTGGGCGTGCTCGGGCCGGTGAGTGATGAAGTTTTGGAGGGATTGAATAACTCTGAGGGTGTGCTTGATGTAAGTCTGGTCAAACTATGAGTTTTGAGTGCCTCCGCAGAGTAAGCTCTATACCGAAAGGTCATCGATTGCCTGGTCGATAGAAGTAGCAGTAGTAGACAAAGAATTAAACGTCTTGATGAAAACAAACAGTCCCAAATAAATCAATATAAACCTTTTTACGGTGATTCTGATGATTTACTTGTGAATGACTTCATCCGGCCTTAGCCAGACATACTAAGGGCAACTCATTGTAACTAAGCAAACGCCTCTTTTTTAGCTTCTGCAACGTCAAAGATTTAGTGGAGTGGCCTGTGCTTTGGTGAACGCATTCGGGGACCTGGACCTAGTCTAGGGACACTGCTGACCAATAGAATATGGCTAATTCTTCCCTGGCAGCTCCCTGCGTCATCAGTACGATGCCCCATAATTGCAGGTAGCTTCAGGCCAGGCCAGGGCCATGATCCATGGATGAGGCAGGTAAATTTGAGCTTGTTCGTCCCACTTCTTTCGCCTCGTCGCTTTAACTCTCGATCAAACTTCGTCTCTGGCTGCGAAGAGGTAGGGATTTTGGTTGCTATCAAGACGAAAAAGACAAATTCTTCAATTGACCAAACAAACCCTTTTGTTCATCTTTAGCTTCAAAATCACTATTCGACCCTCGACATTGACTTCCTCAGCACCCCTGTCTCAGCCACATTCCGGTTATTATCGTGCAAGGCTCCTATGCCAAGATCGATTGCCCGTCCCTAGTCATCTGCTGTTCTGTCGGAAATTGATTACCTGCTGTGAACGCGTACTATATCTCTATTCTCGACACACGACTCTCGCTTCCCGCTTCGCCTCTGGGTGACGAGATCTATCATCGATACGCGCGCACGACTCTCGAGTCAATCATACTGTCATCATGGCACACGCTCCGAGATATAATATGGGCTCAATACGGCCGGCTGTCATTGGCATGGGTCGAGTTTTTGGCGCCAGCTTAACAGCTGTGTCCGCCTTTCCAATCGACACCAAAGGCCATCATGAAGAGGAGGGCGAGGGTACCAGCCTTTGGGTCCTCGCCGTCGCCTCGATGGTTTTGGTTCTTCTCGGTGGTGCTTTTGCTGGATTGACAATTGCGCAAGTTGCATCCCTCTTTGCGACAAGCGACGCTTGCTGACTATTTACAGGTTGATGGGACAAGACAGTATTTACCTCCAGGTTTTATCCGGCGACCCTGCGGAATCGCAGTCTAAGAACGCGAACCGTGTGCTCAAGTTGTTAAACCGTGGAAAGCATTGGGTTCTTGTCACCCTGCTGTTGTCAAACGTTATCGTCAACGAGTCGCTTCCCGTTGTGCTAGATAGAACTCTCGGCGGAGGTGTTGCCGCTGTCGTTGGCAGTACCGTTCTCATCGGTATGATTGCAATTATATCTAACTTGGGCGCTGCTAATTGTTATAGTCATCTTTGGTGAAATTGTTCCCCAGTCCATCTGTGTTCGATTCGGTCTACCTATCGGTGGGTACATGTCAACACCGGTCCTCCTCCTCATGTACATAACCGCTCCCATCTCCTGGCCCATTGCGAAACTTCTCGACTGGATTCTGGGCGAGGACCACGGCACCCTGTACAAGAAGAGTGGTCTCAAGACTCTTGTCACCCTCCACAAGTCTTTGGGAGAAATCTCCGAGCGACTGAACCAGGATGAGGTCACCATTATCACAGCCGTTTTGGACTTGAAGGACAAGCCCGTCGCTGAGGTCATGACACCCATTTCCGATGTCTACACTCTTGCCGAAGACCATATCCTCGATGAAGAGACCATGGACGATATTCTGTCTTCCGGATACTCGCGAATTCCCATCTACCGCTCTGGAAATCATCTGGACTTTGTCGGTATGCTTTTGGTCAAAACTCTTATCACCTACGACCCCGAGGATAGAATCCCAGTCCGTGACGTGCCTCTCGGTGCTATAGTTGAGACCCGACCAGAGACAAGTTGCTTGGACATTATCAACTTCTTCCAGGAGGGCAAGTCGCACATGGTTCTCGTATCCGAATTCCCCGGCTCAGACCATGGTGCCCTGGGTGTTGTTACTCTTGAAGACGTTATTGAGGAACTAATTGGAGAGTGAGTAAAGTCCTTGATTAATTGTGAACATTGCTAATTAAGCAGGGAAATTGTTGACGAATCCGATGTGTATGTTGATGTCCACAAGGCCATCCGACGCCTTACTCCTGCTCCTCGAGCCCGCCGAATCCACGCCGCCGCCACTGCCGCTTCTGTCATGGCCTCGAAGAAGGCTCCTGGTGATTCCATTCTGGTCGATATTGAGGACCATGATGCGCCTTCGAACCGTGATGCTGAGGCTGCGTCCTTCCACAGCAACTATGAAGGAGGATTCCACAACTCTGCGAGAACCGCAATCCACATGAAGCGCCGAACATCCGATGGTGGCATCGAAGGCACCCCCGTTGTTGTCAAGGCCAGCCTGGACGAAATGAGATCTAAGCTCCGCCTTGGACCTGCCAACCGAGCTGCCAACCCACGTAGCAATACACGCAGTCTCTTTAAGATCAAGCAAGGTCTCGGCGCTAACGGAACCCCTCCCTCTGACAGCTCAAGACCTCTGCCCCCTCGCGCACAATCTCACATGGGTTTTGTAAACCAAGGATCGCCGGCGAGAAATCAAGGACACGAACGAACACCGTTGCTGGGCGTAGGTGAGGATAATGAACATGCCGTGGAGGACGACGAGACTTATGATGGTGGCCGTAAGACTAATGGTACGCACTAAAGCGAGATTTATGTTATATGGATAATGGAATATGGGTGGCGGTTCAAGCACTGCTGCACTTATACCAGCGTACCCTGGTCTTACACGCAAACAAATAGGAATTGAGTCGCTATAAGCGGTGTTAATAATAGGCGTTTGATGTAGGAAATAAACGATAACAATGACAGTTATACACCATGAATATTGACCCAATTTGTGATGTGATTGTTGTTTTACATTTGCTTTTTACTGCGGCCATGTTACATATCAGTCATACCAGATGGCATTCATACCGAACCCAGGCTCTGGTGTCCTCACTCTTGCGACGCGCGCAAGGAACTCATCTTGCCAACGGTAAATCTCAAGCCAGCCCTCCTGATCGTCCGTGATGGCCACCCACTCATCGGTCCAGGGGCAAGGCGCAACCGCATTACTGTGACCACCGCTTGTTGGTGTAGGGTTGAGGCAGATTTGGCGCTCAATGGCTCCTGTGTCGGACAACTTGAAGGCGGCGACATAACCTGTCAGGTCAAACGAGTTTGCGCGGGAGGAGGCAAAGAGGTATTTGCCCGAAGACGAGAGAACGCAGACATCAGCGCGGTACTGTGTCCATCTATCGGGAATGCCAGGAGGGATCAGAGGGTAGTGTTTGTGAGTGTATACAGGGAGACGAGTGGCAGGGTCGATAACATATTCGCAGATACGGTTACCCTTTTCCATGAGGGCGTAGAGGTAGTTGCCTGTAGGGTGCATAGCTAGCCAGCGAGGGTGATCCTTTTCATCAGCACAATCTACGGATCCAACAAGCTCAAGCGTGGGATCGTCTTTGCTGCGACGGCGATGGGTCCAGAGCTTGTTGGCGCGAAGGTCGGCAGAGTAAAGATACTCCTCCTCGGGGTCAAAGACCATGCCATGGATGCCAGTGTTAGGCTGGTAGGGGTAGTTTTGAACGTTCTCCTTGAGAGCCTTTGTGGTGTTGTCGGTGGTGAAGACAGCGCCGTGGCCGGCGTGGTCGTAGAATGGATTGCAGTAGACTGAGTAAGGAGGCTTGTTGGCAGCCAGGAGGAAGATGGCGCGGGTATTGGTTGTCGCAAGAGAAGCATTGGCTAATAAATTTAGTAGCAGTCCATCAATTGATTATTTATAACATACGGTCGTGCTCCATTGGGTGAGAAACTTGGTGAGTTATTGAGGTTGGCGACTCAACTGCGAAACTGGACCACTTCTTCATGGCAGCGCCATATATGGCTTTTCTATCATGCTGTTCACAATGTCAGTCCAGTCTTTATATGAGTAGCAATTGACATACACTGAAAGTCATCCATGAGATAGGCTCATCTTGGGGAATCTCAGTCCTCTTGACAAGCTTGAGAGTAAGAGCCTCGTCATCAAAAGCAAAAGTGAAGATGGCTCCTGGAGGGGTCCAGGTGCCGACCATGAGATGGTGAACAGGCATTTTGGCAGCGATTGGAGTGGCTCTGAGCTTTGAGATGAGTGAAGGTCTCATATAATATCTCAGAGATATTTAACAATAATGTTTAAATGGTTATGACTACGGAAAAGAAGAGGAAAAGAATGTGAGACAGGCTTAAACATTTATCCCAGTGGAGGACCCCGCGGGATTAGAGCTTATGGGTAGTAGCCGCAGTCGTGGGTCTACAAGTCCGGGGACGGAAGATGGCTTCGGTAGTGTACGGCGGCAAATGCTACGTTGTAGATTGATGGGATCTAGTATCGGCATTGGGAACAATCTTTGATTTTAGGTAAGGGTATAAAAGAGTTCATACATTCCGATGTTTTTACTGCTTGAAATACGAACAAAAAAGAAATTTAAGATACTCTTCTAGGTAGGTTTCATGATGTTCATCATGGCACCTCTTTTGTTGCAGATTGTCTACCGGCCTGGACATCTCATGCCAGTACTCATGATGAAACAGTTTCATTAGTATTGGTCTCTGCCCAATATCTTATCCCTTCTATAGAGACATTCTGTTGTTTATTTTTCATCTCAAGTCCCGACTGTTTTGTGTTACATTGAACATGTTTACCGAGCAATATCAAACTTCTGTTATAGTGTTGGTTTATTCCCGTTGCCGTCCATCGCTAAGTACCCCGCATCACGCGCATCCAGTTACCTACCTATTCTATCCCTCTCTATCATTGTTACTCCGAGTCATAACCAGTCAGTACAATGTTTACTTTGCCGTGTCATGAGCAACCCGTCACCCGGAGAAAAAAGCTACCACGATGACATACATTTTTCTTCCGTCCAGTCAATATGGACTCGGAACATATGGGCCACTTGTAAAAGCTTGGACGATTTTTAGTCCATTAAAGGTAAACAACAAACAAGGATATACCCGGCTCTTGGACCACCTCGTCATCATTCAGCTTTGTACTCATGATGATGGATTATTAAGAGAGACGTCGAGTAACTTATTTATCGCATACGATTATCTGTGCACAGTAAACTAAATATAAGTCAAGACTTATTGAAAAATCAATTGAGCTAGGTAAAGACGTTGTTCTAGACTTATAAATTCTGCGTTGGAATCCAAGTTGGTTGATCAACCGTCCAGCTAAGACTTACTGGGTACTGTTTGCTGCGAATTGCCTTTTGGGACTTCATATTACAACGATTAATTTTGTGCACGAATTGATTACATGCTCAGAAAAAGAAAACACGCAAACAGATTTGTTACCGAGAAATATAATGTCCAAGCTCGTACACGCCATCCTGCATCCTGCATCAGCATCATCACAGTCACTGGTGCGATAAGATAGATCCCCGTCGCCTAGCCAACGGCCGTTCCCCAATAAACAGTGCAACGGCCCTGCTAACCGTGCTTCGACTTTAGCTTGGCCTAAACGACCTTGCTTCCCTACCAACAGTCCCCCAGCTCTTCTCTTCGACACCTGAACTTTTTTATCATCTTTGCTTTCCAATGGCGTAGTCACCAATCTCCAGTCTTTGTTGGCTTTTATTCTCACAGGTCCATGTGAGACTTGTTTTTGTTCATTGTCGCTTTTCCATCTTCACTTTACTTCGCATCTTCATTTCTACTAGAATCTGCTCTAAACGGTGTGGGCGAGCGCCAGTACTACCTTACCCAGTAGCTATCATATCAAAGCACGGATACTACATATAACACAACGAAACCATGAATCCGAACGACATGAATAGCTTCGACCAGGTCCGAAGACCGCGGCCCAAGTCGACCATTTTCGAGGGCTTTAGACATCGTCGTCAAGCTTCTACCGACACCCATTCCTTCCAAAATCCCTTTGATGCCCCCGTTTCTCCCATCCACCCCAAAATCATGGCGTTTGAGAACTACTCCAACCCAAGTGCGCTGGCGGAGTTGCAGTACAACCAACAAGGGTCTGTACCCCGTCTTCCACAGCAACAGGAACGAGGTCGATCGCAGTCACCAACGAAGAGCAGCTTCGGCAACTTTACCATCATAACCGCATCGGGCAAAGAGGCCAAGGGATCAAAGTCTCGCGAGCCCTCCCCCACGAAACCTAAAAGACCAAAGTCGGCAACAAATCTCGCCGGCCTGCTCAAGCCCAAGACCCTGCGAAACTTGGGCAGATTCAACTCAGAGGATGACGTGAGCTCATCCAAGGATAAGGAAAACAGAACACCCGAAGAGCCTGCAGCGGCCCCTGCCCAAACACCTATATACTCTCAATTCGCATCCAGACCGCTCATTGAACAAACCCAGAGCAGCCGCCGAAGCATGGATGAACACAGGCCCCCGACTGCCAACGAAAGTTATACTGGTAGTCGAGCTGCTGTCAAGGAGCGGCCAAAGTCTTACCACCCTATGCTTGGTAGAATGGAGCCACCACCATCACCTACCAAGCCGCGCACTTCCAACGATTCCCGAAAAGGATCAAAGGACTCTACCGAGACTCAAAGTAGGAGTGGTCGAGGTAAGGTCTTGAGCGTCTTTACTACGTTCAGTCACAAGCGATCTAAGTCGACGTCAACCGTGCCAGAGCCAACAACACCAGCGCTCGACCCCAAGGACATCGACAAGCATTTGGAAGCCATGCTGGATCGGCGAAACATCCCCGAGAATCAGAGATACAAGATGAGAAATTTGAGCAACACAATCAAGATGGAGTTTATCCGCCAGGACTGGGCCGAGTCACATGGTTCTAGATCAGACAGGCCGTGTTCGACTGACAGCGCCAACAGCGGCCTGATCCTCGAGACAGGCTCACAAAACGAAGAAAAGCAGAAGCGATCAAGAGGTAAAAGCTTCAATCTGTCACGGGGAAGAAAAGAGGCCAAGGAGCCCGGTTCTCCGATCAAGAAATCAAAAGGAGAAGGGACTCTTGGCCGCCATTTCAGGAGCAAATCCACAGACAGTGTTGTCAGTGAAGCTCCATCCACTAGCTCCATGTCCAACTCCGGCCTCCTTTCCAAGATCAAACTCAGCCAGGGGCCTGGTGACTACGTCGCGTACCTTAGAAAGGTTCAGAAGCCACAGCTCGTTGAGGTTGGCAAGGTTCACAAGCTTCGCTTGCTTCTGAGGAACGAAACTGTGGCATGGATCGAGGATTTTATCCAACAGGGGGGCATGAAGGAGATTGTAGATCTTCTCAACCGCATTATGGAGGTCGAGTGGCGGTAAGTCAAGACTAGAAATTGTTTGTTATTTTGGTACTAACGTTTGATAGGGAGGAACATGAAGATGCGTTACTTCACGAGGTTCTCCTCTGCCTCAAGGCACTGTCAACGACAGCTCGTGCCATGCAATACCTCGACTCAATCCAGGCCGATCTCTTCCCAAAACTCCTTCACATGCTTTTTGATCCGGAAAAGAAGGGTCCTAGCGAATTCACCACTCGCAACATCATAACTTCGGTCTTGTTCACGTATATTGAGTCCGCTAGTTCGGCTGAACGTTTCGCACGTGCGCAGAGCATCCTCGCTCATCTTAGAGATCCTGAGCCCAAGGAAGACCAGCGTCCTTTGCCATTCGTTCTAGAGATGAGGCAAGAAAGGCCATACCGCGTTTGGAATAAGGAGGTCGTCAGTGTCACTAAAGAGGTGTTCTGGATCTTCCTTCACAACGTCAACGTCGTATCCCTTCCCTCGGACCGCCCCTCCAGCGCTAATCTCGCCAATGGTCCCTACAGCTACATGCTTCGGCATTTCCCTCAGGAGCGTCCACCAGTCCCGGCAGCACCGTATGTGGGCGGAGTTGAATGGGACGCGACCAACTACCTTGCTTCTCACCTTGATCTCATGAACGCCATTCTGGCCTGTACACCTACAGTCGAGGAGCGCAATAACCTTCGCGCGCAGTTCCGTATTTCCGGATGGGAGCGTTGTCTAGGCGGTAGCATGCGCTTGTGTAAAGAGAAGTTTTATGGAAGTGTCCACGATGGTCTTCGGACCTGGGTCGGGGCGGCAGTTGAAGATGGCTGGGATGTCAAGGACGTGCGATACGGCCCGCCCCCTGACGCTCGGACTTCACCAAAGAAAGCCGGAGGTGGTCAGAAGAAACCAGTCGAAGCAGCGCCAAAGATTGAGATGCCAAAGCTTGATTTCAGGCTTGATAAAGCCTCCACCCCGAGTAAAGATAAGGATGTGTGGCTATCATGAGCTGGCACACGTCTTGATCTACCAGCATATGTTTCCTTGTTGCATTGTATTTCCTTATTGGTCTGGAGCTAAAGGTTGATTGTTGGTTTTTGGAAGTCATGGTAGAGATCCTACTCTGATGATGGCATGTTAATGAACTGATGACATAAAACATTAAAACACAATTCTGTATTGTCGATCCGTCCGTACCCCCGAGCTACTTGGCAAAAACTGCTTGTAGATCTGATAAAGTTCTGTGATGGTGTTTGTTGCTAGTGACCGCACGACTCAAAGACCAGCCCCAGCACGTACTGTGGCCAATTGGTAGTTTGTCGGGCCCTGTCTTTTCAATGTATGATGATATCTTTCTTGTCAAGCTTTGATCGCATCGTTATATGCTCAAATGGTCTCTCATATATTACTTCGGTGGAGCTTGAAGGACTCATAGACCGTTGATCCACCGAGAACATCCTCTTTGACCTTGTCATCAGCCGCTATCAGCTTGGGCAGCAACTCAATAACCGAAGAAACCTTGTCCTTGGGAATGACGACTACCCCGTTGATTGGATCGCTAAATGCCAGGTCGCCGGGACAGACGAGTGTACCATTAATGTCGAGAGGTACCTGAATTGCCCAGGGTACACTACCTCCACCGACTCCAATAGTGGACAGCCCTCGAGCCCAAATCTACGTACAAATCTCGGTTCAGCTAACCCAGAGAAAAAGGGTCCATGGGACTCACCGGTAGAGAAGTGCTCTTTAGTTCCTGAATATCTCTCACCCGCCCTGCCACGACAATGCCCTTGGCTTGACACACTTTCATACGAATGGCCATTATACCCCCGCAGACTGCATTCTTTTGACCGTCTGGTTGCTTGAGAACCACAATGGTACCTGGCTCTGTTAGATCGGCCCAGTGCGTTCCTTCGGGTATATTCCTTTGTATATCGGCAAGGTCTTGTCCCTTTGGAGCGAACAGGACCGTTGAAACTGGCGCAACAGTAACTGATACTCCATCACCCTCGGGAGGGCTGTAAAGGTTCAAATCGGCAACAAAGCCGGCTCCTGGAACTTTTAGTTTGAGCAGGGCATCCGAGATATCGCACGCAGTGTACTGCTGCAGCTTGGTCAGGTCTTGGGCTTGGTAATTCATGCTGGCTGTATGTTCTAGAGCAGAGCAGGAATGCTAAGCGAATACGGACGAGTCGGTGAGCAAAAGTCTATCAATAAGTTGCAGGTTTGAGAGGTGAAGGTCCTTTTTGACGTTGTAAGTGCGTATTGTGCCGGTTTAACTAGAGCTTGCCAGCAATCGGTGGAGGAGGTTCAATGTTGTAGCGGGACTGCCAGCTCCATGACTCCGGAGCCTCGCATCAACTCGGACGTTCAGCCCAATCAGAGCCATTACCAACACATGTTAGCATGCACGGTCTCGGTGGGGAGGACAAGGGAATGGAGGTTGCCCGAAGCCAATCATGAAACCGTGGAATTATTTCCAGGGCGGGAATTGGAAGTCGTTGAGAATCAACTTCTTATTCGCGGCTGCAAATGCGAAGCTAGTGACGGAGATAGATTAGGAGCTCAAGCGGAGCGACTAGTTGGACTAGGCAAACCGACGTGGTGTTGTCCCCTGGTTGCTGTTGTTGACTCTTTTCTCTTTTGGCGTAACCCGTTTGAACTCTTCGTAAGAAGGTTTGTGCCGTACAGTAGCTGTAGGTGCAGTATGACGCAGGATTTACTACGTGTCATATCCGTCCCTAGTATCAATCGGTTAGTAAAAGCTTGCGATTTGAGGAAAATGACGTGTCTTATAGACAAGGGATGCGACTCGATGGGAAGGGGTGTCAAAAAGTCAGTATTTTCGTCACCACCGTGGTTATCCGCCGTCTACTCAGTACTCACTTGGGACAACGAGTCATGCTGAGACATTATCATGTGCCGGGGAGGCTGGTGTTTCAGGAAGACTTTTGGAAGCGATTGAAACGTGAGTGGTGAATAATGAAGACGGGGAGACGGGTCGGGAGCGGGAGTTGAGAGCTATATGCAGTATGGATGCTTCATGAGTTGCTCTATAATGAAACTGGGCAAGATATGACATGGAACCAACGCATTAGCTTTCACCCACTATTATCCAGAGCATCCATCTAGGTGCATATTCTCGGTACATGAAAGACATGAATCCTTTGGACAGAAGTAGGACTATGTATTGGATGTCACCAGATGGTTTCCTTTGGGAATAGTAAAATCCTCCAATATCTCATGGTGTATATCAATCTCTAGTGTAATAGATTACAGTAGATGCTGTCAAAAGTACAGTAATTAGCTACATGTCACACTATAATAGCTACTAGTCAGGGTGGCAGGTCAACCCTTAACTAACCGCTATCAACCCCAGACACACGGACACTGGGTTCTTCTAACTCTGACATGGTGGTCCATGGTTCAGAATTGTCGAATATCTTACCCAATTGGAAGTCAGGCTACTCTTTAATAGGATAGAAACCGAAAGTATTGTGGAACGCGTGGGTAGTAGCAAGACTTGCTCTATAAAGATTGGCCGTTTGTTGACTGCATTTGGAGTTGCAACTTGCATGGTGGGAATATTTACTGCGGGTTATTGGAACACTCGTCTTGTTAGTCCAACTGCTGAGCCGTTGCCGGGCATATGTAGGTACACAGCAGGATCAAGTGGCATGCTCGAAACGGCTTCAGGTACTTAATGAACCTATAGCATTGTCAAAGTCACTCAAAATCCCTCCAATGGACAAAGCCAGCACTCATAAAGAATGACCTATTCCTGCCCCACGACCCAGGCGTGGACGGGGCTGCTCTACTGCTGCACCAGCTGTTGGCACTATGCAGCTAAATGATGCATGCCATCATGGCGATACTGTATGGGACAGTTCTTGACCGATACCCCTCGCCCATCTCATCTGGGGACGTAGCCAGCCATCATTTTTTGATAGTCGGGACGCGTGATCATGTCAGATTCGGTGAGGGACCACGTGCCTTTCCGTTGAACATCTTCTACTCTTTCATTGCGGTTACGGTTGTGCCTGGCCTGGCTATGGATGCTGGACTGGTAAAGATGGGCCCTGGTTACAACCTGACCTGTTAACCTGGGTAGCTTTCGCTAACGTGGTCAAGCATGTCGGGTAATGCAACTGACGTTGGCAGCCCACACGGTGGGATTTCTTCCCCTGTGGATCAATCATGGTTGCCTGCGTTCTAGAGAGTCGAGACGCTGTCCTTGTTCTTGGTCTGGCCTTCTGGGGTCGGAGACGACGGACGGGTGATCGACTCGAGCTGCAGCATCTCGCCTTGCCTGATACCTGATGGATGTAAAAAGTTTTTTTTTTTTTTTTTTTTTTTTTTTTTTTTTTGAGTTTTCGGGAGACGATCCTGAGAGTTGACTTTGATCAACAGTGTTTAGCTTTCCATGAGTATCCGTAGCTCAGCAAGCTCAGTCGAACTGGACAAAACAACAGGGGACCCCTATAAGAACGAAATTGGATGGAGTATCAGGTCGCAGAGGAGCTGTTAGTTGGTTGCAAAGGACCATGTTTGAGATTGGCCAGGATGTCTCCCAAGAGAGTGGTACAGTTGTATTCAGCGATTGCCAACGTTAGTTCGGATGTAACAGAAAAAGGAAAAGACTCGGTTCAGGAAAGCACGTGGTGGGTTGTTTCAATGCCTAAGTCTGACTTTAATGCCTACTAACAGTACAGGGACTGTGATACTGTTCCTCACACTATTTTGTGATTGAACCAATTATAATCATGGAATGTCACCTAGAGGATAGCTAGGAAGGCCTTAACGTGAACAGGCAGTTCTTTACCCAGATCATCCGCGCGGCTCGGCCCAAAAAAGACGATCAGCACACAGGGCAGCGCCAGCACCAGTGACAGTGCCTAATAAGCCCAAATTTTACATCTCTAACCTTACTCTATCCACTAAAACTCTCCATCCATGGTTGAGTGATTCCTTCCGCATCACGTTCATCACCTCCAAGGTTTAGCAGCTTCTGTTTGCTTTTGTTGCACGTCCCTCTCTATCATACTTACGCCTACCTCCCTAGGAGTATTACTACCGTACCGTGTTGGTTCTGATATCACACCATCCCCATCATCATCGTGCTCATCCTGGCTTGACTCGACTCAACTCGGCTTGAACTTGACCCCAACGCCCACAAATCAAGTCATCGCCCGCAAATTCAATCAAATCGCCGCCTCCCCCACCTCATTACGGCACCACTTCCAGCCACCAGTTTCGTTTCGTTCCGTCCCGTTGAGTTCGCTCATCAATCAGTCAAGCTTTGTCTGCTCTGCTTCACATTGTTCCTTCGCCTCTTACCCTTGGCTTGGCTTGCTTGGCCTAGGATTTCCTACCGTTGCTTTCGCTTCTCTTGTCTCTCGTCACCCCCCAGTCTAGGTATCCTGTACCTTGGCCTCGGGTCGTCCTGAACCTACCTATTCCATAGCCCTGAGATTCATCCTCGGCTGACTTCCACTCTCCAACGTTGTACTCTGCCTGTCTACATCGGCTACTCCGTACAGTACCCATTACCTACCTACCTACCTACCTACCTACCTACACTTGACCAGACTCATTTGCTCGCTCGCAAAACGGAACGGAACAGAACAGAGAGGGCCCACCCCCCACCACAGGCCCCAAGGCCCAAGACAAGACAAGGCCAGAGGCCAACCCGGCCGCCGTAGCCAGAGCCAGAGCCACTTGCTCCAAGATCTCGGAGCTACTAGAGCTGCCTGCACGTCCTGAACCTGCCGGTACGGAGCCTGGAGCCATTTGCCCACGAGCTAGGGTCGCTTGAACCCTGTACGCGACAATGTCGATAAAGTAAGCCTCTTTCGCGAACCTTTCTCTGAATCTCTTTCTCTGAGCCTTTCCTCTTCCCGTCCTATCTTGTCTACGCTATTCTCAACCATTCCTTCTTGGTCCCTGATTCACTTGCCTGCCCAGTCTTGTAGACTACCTACAGGCTGACCGTCAGCCCTGCGGTTGCCCCTGCTCCGTGCCCCTACCAATACCCCCCGTCCCCATCCCTCTCTCCGTGCCCTTCTTCCGTCTTGCTCTCCGTCTACCTCCTCCGTCTTCTCCGCCTTACCCCCTCGGCGCACGGCGGCCACGGCACAGCCCGTTCCGTTCAACAGCCCCGCCATCCACGGCCCATGGAGTCATGGACCCCGCCCTATAATGGACAATCCTCATGACTATCTTATAACGAGCCGTCCTCCTTCGCGGCCCGTCGATCCTGACAATGCCGATAGCTGGGTTATGCTCAACCAGGGCGGCTTCGTCAAGCTAGGCAATGAACGCATCTTGATGAAGCTCGAATCGAGAATCTCATGCGACCTGTCTGTACCCCAGGAGCTGAGAGCACGATGTGCCTCGTTTCAACGCAAAAGTGATAGAGGCACCCTCTTCCTAACCAACAAGAGAGTAAGTTGAAATCTTGAACATGGTATCCTATTTTACTGACACATCAGATCGTATACCTGCCTTTAAAACCTACACAAGAACCAAAATTCGAGTCTTTCAGCGCTCCAATTCTTAAGTTCCAAGACTCTACAACATCGTCTTCTATGTGGTGGGGATGGGTCTGGAAGTCAGACTGCATCCCTGTATCCGGTGGTGGCATACCGCCGGATATTCCTCGACTTGAGGTCAAATTCACATTTTCAGATGGAGGCATGATGGATTTCAATGAAGCTTATATCCGGCTGCGGGAGCGCCTTTACCAGTACCAGGAGATGCGCCGCGAGATGGGTCCTGGTGCTGACGTCCCCGATGAACCTCTGCCCGCCTATGAAGCTCCCTCCGCACAACAAGCATCTGCGTCAACCACAGCGGATGTTCGCCCCAATCGATCTGAGAGTGCTGCTAGTGCCAGAGCGCCAGATGAACCACCACCAAATTACGACGAGGCACAGGCGCAGCAGTTGAATATCCGATTGGAAGATCATGTCCGGGGCGAGATTGATCGGGGAGCATACGAAAATGATGATTAACGGCCGCATTGAACCACGCCAAAGCTGTGGTCGTATTCCAGATACCAAGATTTAAGCACAGCATTCATAAACTCATTGTATTGTGTCTTGTTGTTTCTCAGGTTTATGTATTGCGAAGGATCTGCTAGAATTATGTCGCTGCCCGAGATTCTTCTTATTTTCTGCCTGAATTTATCCAAAACTTAAAAACAAGGCGATTTTGGATAGCCATTAAACATGATTAAATAAATATCTTCAGCTTGTTCATCCTCTACTCAATATCAGAAGTTTTGCGGCTGAAGTCCGGTCGGTAGATAGGAAGATAGAGATCACGCATCAAGTCACGTGATCTTGAATGACAAAGCCGGCTCTGCTTAACCAATCAAAATGTCTCAATTCCGGATCAGTTTTCATTTCGTGACCTTGGCCGAGAGCTTCCGACCTCTTACGATTAGGAACGACGAATCGACGAACGACACCTCAATCGAAACCACCACTCGTCATTGTGAATTTTTTCGCCTGTCACAATGGGTATCTGGGACGCTTTCACCGATATTGTCGAGGCTGTGACGCCATGGAGCGTTGTTGAGGCCGAGGCTCCTGCTGAGGAGCCCCAGGTACGGGATTTTCCTGAGCAAGGCATTTTCTGTCTCTGGTCATGACGTTGAACAACTGTGCCACGACGTCTTGGAGAGCGCATAAAATGCCTTGCGTATCCGATTGATCTAGTACTGATGAATGGCAGGAGGAGAACGAGTCCAAGACCGAGGAGTCCAAGGACGAGCCTGAGGAGGAGGAGGAGGATGAGGAAGAGGAGGAAGAGGAGGAAGAGGACGAGGAGGATGAGGAGGAACCTGTCGACCCCAAGGAGACCCTCGAGGAAGGTTCGTCAATCATCCATGCGAATACCCGGTTCCAGCAGCAACGAGCGATTTTAGCGACTGCTATACACCTACACGCGATAATAACCCGCAATATGTATATACTAACGCATTCACAGAGTGCAAGAACGCTCCCCAATGTGCCCCCGCCAAGCACCACTTCGACGAGTGCGTTGAGCGTGTTCAGCAGCAGGAGAGCGAGGGTGGCGCCAAGGAGGACTGTGTCGAAGAGTGTATGTCAACCCGAAGCCAACTGCGTCATGGATCGTGAATCTCACATGTAGCATCGATTACTAACGTGTATACCCAGTCTTCCACCTCGCCCACTGTGCGACCGCTTGCGCCGCTCCCAAGCTCTGGGCTCAGCTCAAGTAAATTAACATCACGGGGTTATCGGTTCCTACGACGATGGAATGGCTACATACACGTCGAAAAGATACCTGAGCCGGAACGAGGCAGGACTTTTCACTACGGAAAGCTGCTTCCTTGTACGAATGCTCATCTGTTGGGTGTCAAGTCGTCCAGAGGTTTCTCTGATGTCGGCTCTCTCTGTACCATACGCTCTTACGCCTGAATAGATTTCTTGCACTTTATATCTAGATCATTGATTGACTTAACGCCACACTTGATCTGGCGAAGGTGGTGAATGTTACTTTTCACAAAGGATAGGTGAAGTCCCCTGGTAATCGGCAATCACGCTGTTGTCCTCGTTGTTCTTTTCGTTGCTATGTACGCCCATGGTGTTGAGGCGCTTGGCATACCTTTGTCAAGAACATCTGTTGGGGCGAATCAATGGCGCATTAGAGCCTCATCATGATATCACATTTGTGAGCTTGTGAGTATTTGCTCATAAGTTGAGTAAAGGTTGAGAGGCGGAACATGATAATTATACAGTTGCATGGGGGTTTCTGGTATATACGAGTTTCATCTACCCCCAGAAAGTTCCTTTAACTCACAATCAGCCAATTATTCCATGATACTCAACCTCCTAGGAAATATGGTTCTTTCTGACATAAACGTTTTATGAAACGGCAGTCAGGTCGATACTCAGACACACTATTCATGTGAGACCTCGGCGATTAATACGAAATTGAACACATTTGGTTGTAGATCGGAATCGCGGCACGGTTCTGGTTGGATGCTTAAGTTCGTTGAGTTTGGCAGAGGTGGAAATGCAGGAGAGAGGCATGGGTCTGAGCAGAGCCGGTTGAAAGCATATTGTGGTTTTTAGTCTACAGGGTTGGGGCTGGTATGGTTTAGTTTCGGTTTCTTTCTCAAGATGCTGGTCAATCTCAGCTGGCATTTTCGTAATTTCGATCAGATCATGGATTTCAATCCATAGGAATTCCATGTATATGCGGCCAAATCACAACGGTGTCTTCTTATAATCATAACATGAAAGCCAAAAGGCATAACAAGAAAACGCAAATATCGATAAGGGTAGACATGTATCCTGGATGCTGTATGATACCAATTGCATTGTTTGATAACCGCGCCGTAGAGGACTCGGTTAAACAAGGTATGCTTCCAGGTTGGGAAGACTGCATGTACCGTTACATGGGATCTTAACCGATCCTGAATTCTATAGTTGGTCTCGCTTCCCCTCAATTTTAGAGTTCGCTGTCGGTTGATGCACTGACAGTTGAATGGCTTGGAACGTTTTTCGCAACTGATGGATTGGAATGCTTGACAGAGTGTCATGGAAGCCCATGCTGAAGCTCAAGATCCATCAATAGCAAACTACTAATCCAGCATCGAGGTTCTGTCAGTGTCATTTAACGACGAATAACTCTTTTCTCGTATCATGTAGTGCCGGTCGGCCAAGGGCTATATCAAGTTAGTAATTAATCTACGCTCGGTTGGTAGAAGCTTGAAGATGTCGCAACTAGGGAGTTCCAATCCTGGTCTGAAGCAGCCTATCATTGACGGGAGCTTTAAGCCGTTACCGCTAGCGTCGCTTGTCGAACTCGAAACAGATTCATGGAAAGTGCAGGTGATAGCAAAGGTACCACACTGCTTCCTGTTGTGGAAGGGCGACTTTTCCAGGGTTTTCGTGTTTAATGGCAGTTGAGATCCGAGCAGTGTCCTTCCAATATAGATTAGAATGAGTAACCCCCCTCTTTTGATAAAGAATAAGATCTTTATTTCTTGTTCAACTAAAACTATCCGTCGACTCCATATTCAATGCTTCCTTCTTACTAGGATCGCCAAGCTGAAACCGCCCACAACTGATCGACCCATCACGTCAGTCAAAGTACCCCTAATTAGATGCTCAGGTGAAAGTTCCGGCCGAGACGAGGAGCTCTGGCAATCAACCGTCAAGTACCTAATAACTGTCGGGTTGAACCAACAACCGAAGGATCCGCTCGGAAAAGACGACATTCTTGTGAGGCGACTTTGAAGATTGTGAGGTGATACGGTAGTGTTGAAGATTAGTCTTTGATCATCTGCTGAGACTCCTTTTTCTTTCAACAAATTGCTATTCATCTTTCCACATCTATTCGCCAACACTGAATCACACACTCTTTTTATATATGCCGCCATAGTCGGGCATTATATGAGCTTGCCCTCACTTGCTGGGCTTCTTGAAACTGCAACTAGCACCAGCACCACACTGGCACTGGCTGTCTCTGGGCATTGATACTGACACTGGCCGACACTGGCAACGAAACCGCACGCTGCAACCTTGTCCCTGTCACCACTGATCAACGTCGCCAATCGATTACTTAGAACGCCCTCTCCTCTCCACGCAATTCTTAAACTCCACCTTCTCGCATCTTCGCTTTGGACTTGGAAACAACGTACGACAAACAAACCTCCAACACAAGGCATTCTTGAACCATCGACATCATGAGCAGCGACGGCGCTGGCGTTCGCTTTTGGCGCAAACAGAAGCTCGGTTCGCGTGACTTCACCCTTCGTGAGGCCAGAGAAACGGGCGACGGTGACGGTGATGGCGAGGGAGGTAGCATTCGCCAAGGAACCTCAACCGAGTACCGTACATACAAACGACGATGGTTTGGCCTCGCTCAGCTTACGCTGATGAATATTATTGTGTCTTGGGATGTAAGATTAGAGTTCCAACCACTAACCGAATCACCATATATGCATGCTGACTCAATTCATAGTGGATGACATTTGCACCAGTAGCATCACACGCTGCCGAGTACTATAATGTCCGAGAATCGACTATCAACTGGATCAGTACCGCCTTCTTCCTCGCATTTGTTGCTGTTTTCCCTATCAGCATTGCCATCCTTCATCGAGGCCCCAAGCTGGCCTTCATGACATCTGCTGTCCTCATCCTCATCGGCAACTGGATTCGATATGCTGGTTCTACTAAAACTAGCGGCGGAAACATCGCTTGTGCCATGGCTGGAGAGATTGTTATTGGCTTTGCCCAGCCGTTTATCCTTGCAGCACCAACTCGATACTCGGATCTGTGGTTCACCAACCGTGGCCGTGTTGCCGCAACAGCTCTGACGAGTCTGGCAAACCCATTTGGTGCAGCAATCGGACAGCTCATTACACCATTCATGGTGAAGGAATCTGGTGATGTTTCCAGCATGGTCCTGTACATTTCCATCATTGTAGGTTCTCCTTTTGCGTGCAACTTAACCCAACTAACAGGTATAGTCAACTGTCTGTGCCCTTCCAGCTTTCCTTGTTCCTGCAAGCCCTCCTACGCCAGTTGGCCCTGCTTCTGAGACCCCAAAGCTCAGTCTCCGGGAGTCCATCAGCGTTCTGAGCAGTTCTTTGGAAATTTGGTTGATTCTCATTCCATTCGGCGTCTATGTCGGCTTCTTCAACTCAATCTCTTCTCTCCTCAATCAAATGCTCACACCTTATGGCATTAGTGATGACGAAGCTGGTATCGGTGGTGCAGTTTTGATTGTCGTTGGTCTTGTTGCATCCGCGATATCTTCTCCGATCATTGATCGCACAAAGAGTTTTCTTCTGACACTCAAGATCCTCGTCCCTCTCGTTGGTATCAGCTACTTGGTCTTTATTTGGATGCCGGAAACCAGGGATGTAGCCGGCCCTTACGTGGTCCTCGCTATCTTGGGTGCCTCCTCGTTTTCACTGGTCCCTGTCGCACTCGAATTCCTTATCGAATTGAGCCATCCACTCAGCCCCGAGGTCACTTCAACCGTGGCATGGGCTATGGGTCAGCTCTTTGGCGCTATATTCATCATTGTTAGTGATGCGCTTGCAGCGGGCAAAGATGCCAATCCTCCAAAGAACATGAAGAACGCATTGGTCTTCCAAGCGGTCCTAGCTCTTGCCGTGGTGCCCCTCCCCTTGTGCCTAGGACTTTTTGGCCGGGAGCACAAGACGGCACTACGTCGCATCCGTTCTGATGAACAGAATCGATCGAACACTACCGTGGCTACCAACCCGTGAGGGGTTTGTTTCGTAAGGAGGCATGTCTCAATGTTGATTTCAAGCATGGCGTTCAAAGGATGAACACTGGGAGCTACTACTAGTATTAATGTCATTCTTACAGAAATCATTTCTGCCTGTCATTGTCGCAATATACCCATTCCCTTTCTATTTCAACGCCGGATGTCCTTTACCTGTATTGTATCTTTTGCTGCCAGAACCGCCCTATGCCTTTTTGACGCCAAGAATTTCCTCCCACTCATGTCGCATGTCTTCCATTCTCTTCCATGATTCAGCACCCAATTCTTCAAACCTGATGATATCTTCCTTGGTCACGTCAACAGCTCCCCTTTTACGCCCAACCGTCTTTTTGAAAACACCAACAGCGGTATCGGCATTTAGAGCCGCCGCATCCTCAACCTTGCCCTCCCAGCCCCATCCTTCAACTTCTGTCTTCTTAACTTCAACTTGCATGTGACGGTTTGAGCTACTGCCCCACTTGATGCGCTCAGCGTCCAGTTCGTCAAGCGCAGATTGTTCCTGTAGGGCAATCCAGACAGGCGACTTGGCACCGGTATAGCTGTCTGTGTTGTGCCAAGGCGAACCGATCCAACGACTTATCAAGAGCGCAAGCTCGTACGCCCACATGAAAAACCAAGGGACAGGGAACAGTGTACTGGCAACGATACCCGGGTGAGTGAGATACATGCGTGGCCGGATGGGCTTGGCACGGGCTTCAGCAGGATCGTCAGGGGTGAAAAAACGATTTGATGACGGTAGAGCGGCAGGGAGGGTCGCAGTAAGGGAAAGAATATCTGTCACTCGCTTGGCGGATTCGTACGGGCCCTCACAATTGAAGCCTTGAAAATCCGACATGTCCAGAACACGCCCAATAGCTTCAAGACTACTAGACCAAATCAAACGACCTGGTGTTTCGGTTTCGGATTGACGGCAGAGCAGAGGAAGAAGTTCGTGAGCTAATACGTAGTGGC